AAAAAAACCCCACAAAACAAACTTTGAGTGACTTGATAAATGTTTGTAGAATCAAATGCCTTCAGTTGCCTGCAACCTCAGGTTAAGCCTCTTCCCAATACCCAATCCACTGAAACTGTGAGACAATAAACACTTATTGTTTTAAGCCACTAAGTGTTGGGTAATTTCTACTCAGCGATTGATAACTAATCCATTGCTCTGAGAGTAAGCCATAGGGATGGGGGATGGATTGGGTAAAAGGAGGGTATGACTTATGGAAAGCCCCAGAAAAGCCTGACAAAAAGAGACATTAGAAGAAATTCTTTTCTTGCTCAAGGGATCATGTAAAGACAGAGGTGGGGAGGCAGGTTGAAAGACAAATATGTCCTCACCTCCTGTCTTGGGGCTAAACTGATTGAGGTGGAAGTTCTCTGACACAGGTTGAAGAAACAGGTAAGTTCCTGTCTGGGTCTATAGGCAGCTAATGTCTCCCAGGATGCCCTGTAACAGCCTGGGTTCTCCACTCTCACGTGGTCTGGAAAACACTGAGAAGTTCCCACAAGCCCCTGAGGGAGGAAAAAGAGGTCGCTGAGAGTCTGGCTGAGTAATTGCCAGAGAAGGTCAAAACTGGGGCCATGAGGCTGAATGACCCAAACCAGAGTCAGACAGGAGTCACCAGATCTCAGGAGTACCAGTCTAGAAAGAACTGAGGAGGAGCCAAGACAGCAGGAAGGACCACTGGGCCCCATGGACGCAGAGAGAGAATATAGCACAAGTCACACTAGTTACAGACTCTAGCACCAAATGCCAGCAAAACACGCAGGAATGGGAAAGACCTACCACACACAGCCAAGAACCAGCCGGAACTCAGAAGTCCCCACTATGGTCCCAATGCTCAAAGGCACTTAAGCCTCCAAGGCACCACCTTGGAGAAAAGAAAAATGGAGAGGAAAGGGAGAAGGGATAAAAGAGTAAGTCACCCAGAAAAGACAATTGTACTGAAAGGTCACTGGAGGTATTTGACTGGATTGAGTTCCAGTGGGAGGTGGGGTGGGGCTTGAGAGGAAAATCACGTAAGTTACAGAAGAAAGTGAGGCTACGGTTTCCTGGCATATCTAGATCTGGTGTGAATAAATATATGACTCCAGTTCAGATGCCATGAAAACATACTGTAAGGATTCACAGAGGTTCAAAGAAGGGTTTTGTGCTGGACCTAGAACATGAGAACCAGAATGGACACTAGAAATCACCTAATCCTCAGTATTTTCCTCTGTTTGTGCCTTATCTGATGGCACCCAGGTCCCTCCTTCCCCAGCCCATGACCCACCAAGCTTCAAGGGCTGGTATTGAAAAGATGGCATTGGCTTTGCCGTTATTTAGGAGCTAAAACCCTTGGCTCTGTTTTAAAGAGCTAACACCAAGCCATTGGCCCCCATACATGTAGCTCAGAGAAAGAGCACACAGGAATAAGAGTGTCGCACATTTGTTTTGTAGGTCAGAAGCCAACCCTTGTTTTATTAAAATATGTACAGGAGACTGGGAAGGAACAGGACCCGTCTGTACTGTGGCGACATACACAAAAGCATGAGCCGCATCCAACTCTGCTGCCCTGGGCTGTCCCGCAGATGGCTCTCTAGAACTCGGTTTGGCTGGAGCCTCATGAAGCCCTCATCTCCCCAGGTCAACTGTCTCTCAACCAGATGTGACTATGACATTTGCATCACCAAAAGGTGGGGAAGGCCACTGCGTCAGTTGAACAGGGAGGTTTTCTTTTCTATTCATATGGTTTCTTTTTTGAATAAACTCAGTTCTTGCAAGCGCTGGTGCTTCCAAATGGCTGTCTAAGCAGTTGGAAAGGCAGTGGCCTACAAGAAACCAAGCTCTACTCACCCTCCACTGAGTTTTGTCCCTGAAATCAGAAGCCCTGGCATAGCCAAGTTCATGGGCAAAGTTATACTTCAGGTCCTCATTGCCTCATGCAACACACATACAGAAATAAATCCTGGTTTATTTCATGTTTCTCTCAATCCAGTCTTTAAAAGGCAGCACCTTGGTGAAGGCCGTGGAGAGGCTGTGGCTGCAGGTTTTGTCATAACTCCAGCTGACCAGGCCCACCAGATGCCAGCGTGGCTCAGCGGATGCTTGGCCTGGGAAGAACACAGCTGCGATGCCCCCTGTCTCTGCGGTGCAGATGTCAGAAGGAGCGGTGGGGTCCCGGCTGGCACAGAACATGTTGTCAGTGACACTCACTGGGATGCCATGGTCTTCATGCTGCTCCTCACACAGCAGAGAGTCCACCACCCTGACCACCCCTGAGCGCAGCGTGTCGTTCTTAAAGCCAGGGCTCCTCACGTCTGCCAGGACGTTCCAGCCAGCCACAGTGATGTGGGTCTCCTGGAAGGAGGTGCTGAGGTCCCGAGTGGATGCAAGGCAGATGGGCTGGATGCGGGTGCTGATGCGGGCCTTGTCCAGGAGCTTCAGGATGGCGATGTCGGTATCGAGCAGGATGGGGTCATAGTTGGGGTGCAGAATGACAGCAGAAACCTACAAATGTGAGGAATGGATTGTAATGGTGAGCAGCCAACTCCACACTGAACAAGAAGAGGAAAGCAAAACTATTGGGAGAAAATTTTTAAGAGACAGCTACAACTACTTGGAGATACTTTGCTCTATTTCCAGGGTTGCAAACTGAAGTGCCTACCAGGGCCTGGTGGTGGTGTTAGATAAGTGGAGCGGACAGGTGAGGCTGCATAAAATGGGCACACTCCCTCCAAAGTGGGCAATGGCCACCTCACTCCAGCTGACCACCACCCCATGGGGAAAAGGGGCCCTCATTCTAACTTTGCCAGAGAATGGACTCCAGATCTTCATCTGAAATATCCTGATTTTTAAATGTTGGCAGATAAATGATTAAAGTAATATATGTTAGGACCTTCAAAGCACAAAGCTCTATAGGCTACCAGTTTGCAACCTCTGGTCCACTGTAAATATTTCATTTAACTTCAAGCCTGTATAAGACAAAGCTATACCCAGAACGTTCCACAAGACTTTTCCATGAAACCTTCCCTGGTTGTATCAATCTTTGCTGATCATTCTCTTTAAGGGGGGCCTCTAAGAGCTCACATCTGTGATATCTTATAATTTTTTAATGTATATGTTCTATTACTTCAAAAGCCTTTGGGCACATTTCCTCAGAGCATCTCCTGTGTTACACTGATCATGATATATTCGTTTCTCTTTCCCACTAGACTGTGGACTTTTCAGAGAAAATACTTATTCTTTTCTGTATCTATTTGCAGTGAATAGCAATTGTGGGAGCTCAAAAATGGTTGAACGGATGAGTGGATAAATAAATGGATATATGGAAACATGGATGGATAGATGGACAGGTGGGTGGATGGCTGGCTGGCTGGCTGGATGGATGGATGGATGGATGGATGGACAGATGAAGAGATGGGTGGATAGACAGGTGGATGGTTGAATGGATACATGGGTAGAACAGATGGATAGGTGGGTAAATGGAAGAGAGGGAGGGGGGCAGGGAAAGAGAAGTATTTTGTAAACTGGTTAAGAATATCTTGGATAAAACCTCTCTATGTGGACAGATGAAGAGATGGGTGGATAGACAGGTGGATGGTTGAATGGATGCATGGGTAGAACAGATGGATAGGTGGGTAAATGGAAGAGAGGGAGGGAGGCAGGGAAAGAGAAGTATTTTGTAAACTGGTTAAGAATATCTTGGATAAAACCTCTCTATGTCGACAAGGCCTACCTAGGACATTGCCCAAACATAATAGGTAATTACCTTTTTTTGTTATTGTTATTCATAAATATTTATTGATAATCTACATTGAGCTAGGCACTGTGCTAGGCTGTGAGGGCACAGTGACAAGTCACAACATCCAAGTGGGACTTGTGGTGATTTCAGGCAGAGCCAGCCGTTAAACAAATCCTATAACTAATTTTTAATTTGTTATTATTTATGATACATGCTACTAGGAGAAGCACATATATATTTAACTCTTAGGTGATTGACTTTTGGTGACCACAATGATAAATGATATTTGTCTCTATCTTATTTTTAAAATAATTAAAGAGAAAAAAAGACTCCATAGTCTTTCTAAATGCCCCTTTCTAGTATCTGTCAATATGAAATATTGAGCACCTGCTACATGCCAGGCTCCGGGCTGGCTGCTGACATGCTAAGGTGACAGGACTGTCATAGTCACTTCTCTTCTGTGCTTGGAGTTTATTGAGCCAGAGCCCAGTTACCAGGTTGAACCCTCTCTCACCCTCAAGCTCTGAATAGTCTTCTCATCCCGGTCATCATCCCGGTAGAATTTCCCCAAGACAACTTTGAGATCTGCTGTCTTGATGATGGTGATCTTCCCCAGGTCGGTAACACAGTGGGCAGCCACCACCACGGTGCGTTCGTTCACCAGGGCACCACTGCAGACCAGGAACCATGCACCCTTGTGCAGGCTGCCATCATGCATCCCACTGGTCCTCCTGTAGATGGCCACCTGCCACGGCCAGCGCATCCCTTGAGTCTTTGGAGCAGTGACGTTCTCAATTTTCCCACAGACTGCAGAGAAAGCAGCAGCTCAGTAAGATAAACTCAGCCCTTTCTACCCAAAGGGGAATGAGTCACTCAACGAGGAGAGCAGAAATCTAAAAAGGTGTGGGCCCATGGCTGTGATGATCACTAAGCAATCTAACTTGGTTTCCTTCTCCCTTTCAACATTAATCAACCACCCTTGACATGGTTGGCTATAAAGTCTAGGGTTGAAATTGGAGGTTTTGTAATCAAATGACACCTGAGTTCTGATTCCAGGCACTTACTCTCAGTAGGACTTTGGGAAAGTTGCCTAATCTTCTAGAGCCTCAGTTTTCTTCTGGTAAAATGGACAGAGTCACAGCAATTGTCTCATGATATTCTTGAGGAGACTGAATGAGACGATGTGTATAAACAGTCTCAAAATATTGTCATCATAAACATGACCACAATGAACTAAACCATACCGTTCTCTTTTCACAAAGAAGAGGGGAAGGTAGTTTAGTATGTGCAAGCCCCTCTTCCAAACACTTTCACATATTATCTCATTAATCACCATCATAACCTTATGAGAGAATTAATACCTCATTACTTAATAACAATTACCTAATTAACATCATTGGATGCTGAGCGTGAAAACGAGGCTTAAAGTAGCCAAGATGACATAACTACAGGACCTCAGGCATCTTTAACCCCTTCCCACTTGTTTAACGACTACATTCTCCCTTTCCTCCAAGCAAATATGATAGAATTTTCCACAAGAAGGTATGCCTTTAAGATTTAATGAGTCAAATTCTCCTAGCTAGTAAGTTTGAGCCAAAGGAAGGAAGCTCTAACTGTGAAATTTCAGACATCGGAGGACAATTCCTTTAAACAAGGAGCCTTTCTCCAAAAGTCTTCAACAGGGTTAATGGTTTTTCACTGGCAACCATAGAAGATGGAAGATGCTCCAGCCCAAAGATAGAGCTTGACTCACTAGGGATGCAGGATGGGGCCCGCCCACTCCATTTGCCAGTCCTCAGACATGTCCTCCGGCTGCTGCCCAGGCGGCGGTAGAAGGGTGAGATGCACTCATACTGGAGCTGTGTGTGCAGATGTTGGTACCCAGCAGGCAGGTCTCCAAAGGGAAGGGCTGGCTTCTTGGTAGGGGCACTCTGCAGTTTCTGCTTGCTGAAGGCTGCTGAGTATAGTTGGTGTAATGGTGTCTCCCTGGTCAAGGCACATGAGCCAAGAGAAAGAGTGGGGCGAGAAACAGTCATTGTAGTCCCTTTAGCATCCATGCTGATCCCCATGTAGATACTTGGTTACAGACGAAGAAAAAAATGGCTGTCTTGTTCTATGTCTCTATCTCTGCTTCTATCTCTATTCTCTCTGTCTATCTGTCTCTTTCTCACACACACACACACACACACTTCACCTCTACCACTGAGCAAATTCTTGCACACTTCAATCTTCATTTTATTCCTCCATTTCTGGCATGCTTCCAATTGCCTAGGATTTTAACCAGAGAAAATAATATCTGCCATAATAGCTGCTATCCAAAGGTACATTATACATACACACAAAAAAATTAATTGCAGAATTAAACAGAAAAAGGAGTTAATTTGAATGAGAGAAATCCAGGAGTATTTTCTTCTCTAAACATTATCATAATGGGGTAATATTAGAAATTGACTTGAACTAAACTACTGTTGATACAGTAGCTTGATTGAGCAATTAGCAGATGCAATTAGTACACCTCAGAGAATAGAACTTTCTCTCAGGGCACATTGACTGGGAGAAATCTGAAGCGTTGTGTGTAAGTGTGAAAAGAGATATTAAATGAGCCCTAAAGTTGAAGCCCCAAGGACCACTCGGAGATTCCTAGGGGAAATGTACAGCGTGTATTCATTCTATATTGGTGCATAATGACTATCAACTGAAAAGATAGAATTCCTTTAGAAACAGATGTGTCTATCCCATTTGATGAATGGAAAAAGGAAGCTCAGAGAGTTAAGTGGGAGAGCTCAGGGGTACTCAGTAAAGGAAGATGGTACCCAAGACAGTGCTCAGCAGTCACAATTTTGACCCTCGTATCTCTACTCCATCAATTTGATAACATCATAAGAAATCTATTTCATGTGTCTGTACAGTGCTTGACTCAGAACAAACATTCCATATTGATAGTATTCAACAAATCTTTAACTCATGTTTACAATCAGGTCTGCAGCTCAGGGAGCTCCTGAAGTTGCAAACAAACTCATCTCTTGGCCATTGGAGGTCAACACTGTCCTTGGGGTGTAGCTGCTGGAGAGATAAGCATATTTACCACCTCATCAGCCTATCTTCCAGAAAGATACTTAAAACCAGGTTTGAGGCTTGCTTTCTCATTTACAAGAGACACCTGGTACCTCACCACCATCACAACTGCTTTAAAAATAGGAAACCCAGTAGTCTTTTTTAATATCTCAGGGCCTCCTCCACAAGATGTCTCCTTGGGAAGAAAGGTTTGATCCCACTTAATGGGGAATCCAGCCCAGGTAAATCATAAAGATAAGAAAAGGGGCAGAATTTGGATCCCACTGCCATTGTACCCAAGGAAATGCCTTACCTGAAAAGAGAAAGACAAAAATGGAATAAGACAGCCCAAGGAGAGGAGGGAGATTGATGGATACCCTGACTTGTGATTGGGGTCACTTGGTTGGGATCAATTCTAGTCACTGGGATTCAATGTTACCATTTCTAATAATAGCTACCACTGACAGGAGATTATATGTGCAAGGTGCTATGCTAAGGCCTTTACATGGGCTTAAAGTCTAGTGCATAGGTGAGCAGACCCTGAAGCCAGGTACTAGATCTACATCCTGGATTTGCCTCTTTTTCTAGCAATGTGATCTGGGGCAAATTACTTAACTTCTCTGAGGATTGTCATACCCATCTATAGTCAAATAGTAATAAAATCTGTAATAAAATGGTAATAATAATAATAATAATACCTATTTCAGAGTTTATAGTGAGGATTAAATGAACATGTAAAGTACTCAGAAGAGCAACTGGCACATAGTAAACATGCAGTACATGTTAGCTACTAGTGTCACATTTAATCCTTACAATTCTCAGAGACAGGCTGTTATAAATATCCCTATTTTTCAAATGAGAAAACTAAGGATCCCCATGCTTAGGAACTTGCTAAGAA